CCGTAACCTCCCTTCCTCTTTCTTCGGCGAACTTCCCGACTCCTTCCTAACGACATTTCTTTTTCCTACTTTTTTTCCGAGACTCCCAGAGGGCGAGACGGAACCAGACGAGCGAGTAGGTAAGCAATGGAACCGTAGCAAAGAAAATGGTTATATTTAGAATCGTCAGGAAAATCTCACAGGAATTTCACAGTCGAACCTAAGTCTGACATAAGTAAATAGTACGCAAATAGATAAAGAGGTCGACGATCGAAAATAAGGACGACACTTGGTAACTGACCTGGCGCGACGAGGTTAAGGTGAAGTGAAACCCCCTTGAAATCAGTTGATTTGAATACAACACTTTTTTTTAAGGGTATTAGACCAAACTGTCCGAAACTTTGACACATTACACCTGGTCATCTAAGAATTGTCTTGACATATTCAAAATTTGGATTTTTTTAACAAATTTTTTAACTCAACCCAGAACAAAACCAAAATGGCACCCAGCTCTGATATTTCGATCAATATACAATTATCGAAGGCTCTGTTATGAGAATCGAAAGGGTCAGGACAATTTTACGACAATTTAGAACACTCTGGTAGTCGATAAACTTGCATTTGAACGGGATAAGGGCAAAAAAAGTGTTGTATGCGCTTGTATGCTAAAACGATGATAATACGAGGTCTCGGAGTGAAAATTTAATTGACCTGGGAATCACAGATGGCGCAGGGGGTCCCTCTGCGATCAATTAGGCCCCCAGAAAGCATGAATCCAGAGGATTTCTGGAGTTTTATTTTGATTTCTTTATAATCATTGTACGAAAACGACAGGTGGTGTATGCCGTTTGGTACAATACCTAATACAATTCGACACAGCTGTCAATATAAAAACGAACGTCGGCAACGTAGGCATTTAGAAAAATCTTCTTTATCGACGAGTTTCACTTCACCTTAACAATTGACCCTGAATTTTGAATCCTTTCTGTATCACAATTTGCGTTTCTATACGTTACACATTTATAATTACATTTTTTTTGTGCTTACATACGATACGGTATCTTCCCCAACGTTTTTTCTAAATATAAATTGTAATATACATTTTACAAGCCAATTTTTGCCGTAACCACTTTATGTCAAACCCGATATTTACTTTATCGACTCGGCACGAGCAAAGAACTGCGTGAAGTCTAATTTTCAATTCTATATATTCGCATAAGGTATAACCTTTTCTTGCTTAAAACTGCTCGTAGAATGATTTCGTCCGCAAACAGTTAATTCCGCTAATTATTCCATTTATTTGTTCTTTTTCGTGACTCTACAGATTTGCTTTCGCTTTCGTCCACATCCTGCTTTGGCACCGGCAAAAAGAAGACCAAGCGGAGCTCCGTTTCCCGAACGCGAAAAAGGATCTCGTTCGTTCGGCGACACAGTAACGCACTTTGTTTCCTGCGATACCACGATTAATCACAAACAGGTAGTCATTGCAATTTGCTTTCCCCCGGTGTCCACGCGCCGGAGTCTCGCGTCTCAAAAGGCCTGCAAGTTTCTCGATTCGGTCGATAGCCTGATTCCGGTGCACTCGTCCAATGTGGTGGTTGGATCGGTGATCGTTAACTCCGATGACTTGACGAGACGTCTCGTGGACGTCTCCTCGATGTTCCTATATTGCTATAATCACCGTATATAGTCGCGAATGCGAAATATTTCGCGCCGAAGCCTGGCTCGCACTTTCTTCCCAGCGGGAACCACGCGTTATCGAGATGTCCGTATCGATTTTTTTAATCGGCCACTACCCACCGGGGAAGATGCAATTCCTTTCCAATAAATCGCGTTTCCGGCAAATCCGCATGCAATACCGAATCCTCTTACCTTCTCCGTAATCCATGTCGAGTTTTTCGAATCGTTTAAGGTGAAGTGAAAGACGCCGAGGAACATGATCGACGTCGATAAAGAAGATTTTTCTAAATGCCTACGTTGCCGATGTTGGTTTTTATACTGACAGCTGTGTCGAATTATATTTGGTATTGCACAAAATCGCATACTCCACCTGTCGTTTTCGTACAATAATTATAAAGAAATCGAAGTAAAACTCCAGAAATCCTCTGGATTCATGCTTTCTGGGGCCTTAATTGACTTTAGAGGTACTCCCTGCGCCATCTGTGATTTCCAGGTCAATTAAATTTTCACCCCGAGACCTCGTATTCCCATCGTTTTAGCATAGATGCGCATACAACACTTTTTTTGCTTTTATCCCGTTCAAATACGAGTTTATCGATTACCAGAGTGTTCTAAATTGTCGTCAAATTGTCCTGACCCGTTCGATTCTCATATCAGAGCCTTCGATAATAGTATATCGATCGAAATATGAGAGCTCGACGCCATTTTGGTTCTGGTCTGGGCTGAGTTAAAAAATTCTTTAGAAAAATCCAAATCTTCAATGTGTCAGGACAATTCTTAGATGATCATGAGTCATGTGTCAAAGTTTCGGACAGTTTGGTCCAATACCCTTAAAAAAAAAGTGTTGTATTCAAATCGACTGATTTGAAGGGTGTTTCATTTCACCTTAATCATCGCGATTCGCGAGCGTCTCGTTAAAATATGTGCACTGCTCGTCGAGAGAGTTGTGCAACCGCATGCGAGACGGCCGTTCATTCTCACGGAAGCGAAAAGGCAACGGCAGAGACTCGGTGAATTCAATTACCACGATTGTTCGTAGGTCGCATAAAAGGCGATCGGCCGACCGAACGAGACCTGACGGGTTATGAGTTATGGCCAGAAGGAAACAGGCCTCTAAAATTCGCGTCTTGCAAGGGATATCAATTGAAAACTAAATAATTGGTACACGAAGTTTCTACATTTTCCAACGGATGGATATGGGTGTGGTTAAAAACGAATAAATTGCATTCTTTCCGCGACTTCTAAGAAATTTTGAAATTTTTTGCAAATGCTAAACACTGGAATAAGACACGAAGAGAGGTGACAATAAGGGAATTAATGAATGGGAAAGATCTGGTCTACCCTCGATCATCTATTCGTTTTTTGGAGGCGCCCAAAAGATCTTAGGTGCGCTTTAAAAGAAGTAACCTCTAATTAGCGATATCTAGTAACCATCTTTATGCGGATAATTGCAGAAAAGTGAATTCGCATTAAAAGTCAGCTTTCTGAAATGAATTTGAAATAGCTTCTTGGACAATTACTCCTGCAAATTAGAAAATATGGAAAGTAGATATCGTTCATTATATGTGTGTCACAATCGTATCCAGTTTCCATACTTACAAACTTAGTTAGCGAGAATTAGATACCGACTTCCAAGGTATTTTGCATTCGTTTCGCACGTTTGCGATGGAATTTCGTGATTCGACTTGAGTGGAGCATTACTCTGAAATCGTCTAAGTACGGACGTCACAACCGTTTTGTCGAACGTGTCGAGGCTACTAAGTCGTCGAGTTTTATTCCACTTGCGCAACGTTAAAAATATCGACAAGAATTTCTATTTCATGTTGCCAAATTATGTGAAACTTTCTTAAAGGCGTAAAATAAATTGATGAGCAAACCGTGCAAAAAAGAAACAAATCATTACAATTTTATGATATTTATGACCATGTATCTCTGGTTTCGTATCGTTTTCGATGGTAGCAGCGATCGTAACGTTGACTCTCCAATTTTGGTGTGTAACACGATTGCGTGGGTGCGACTCAGGGATGGGAGCTGAATCAGAACTTAAATAATTCCGCAAACTCCATTCGAATGTAAGAAATGATGTTTAGCACGTTATTGCAAAGTGTAGAACGAAAAAGGACTGATTTGAAACATCCTACCCTGGAAATATCGAAGCATCCCTTTACCCCATAATAAAGAGACGTAGACAATGAGAGACAAAACACGCAATTACCCCGCCGTTACTCCCTCACCCTCGTCCCTAGACTGCCAAAACCTATATATCAGTCTTTCACCTCCCTTAATCAACAAAATAATAACAAATAAAAAGATCAACAGAAAACCGGCAATCTTAGCAGATTAATTCAGAGATTCAATTAATGAAACCAACTTCCTATTTTCCACCTAGGTATTTCGCCTAGGAGGCAAACCTGTGTCCCATTCGTATCCAGATCCCCTCTCCCTACTGACACTTACCCCTACACTTACACTTACAATTACTTGGAAATTACAGAATATTTCCAAAGTTAGGTTTATACACCCACCATTCATCTACGGATCGAATATCCCACCAGTTCATCATTCGGTCTCGGAATGCACAGTCACAGATCAGCGCGGTATTAAGGGCGCTCACCACTCCAGCGATTTTGCAGGGCCTCACGGGGATAACGATACCGAACATATTTCTAAACCGATCGAGCTTAACGAGTGCTCATATCGAAGATGAAACGTTGACCTGTGTTTATATGGGAGCGATTTTCGATAAGTGGTCATTTTCATATAAAAAAGTGCAACGACATAATTTCAATGCCCTTTTACCTAGGAAGGAGGTGCTTGATCGAAAATAGCTCCCATACAAACACACGTCAACATTTTATCTTTAAAACGAGCACTCGTTGAGCTCAATCGGTTGAGAAATACGCTCAAAATCGGTCCCCGTGGAGCACCTTTTTCAGGATTTTCGAGTTTCTCGAGAGGAATTTGGGCATTCCTTAGCAACCGTTACCGACTCTAGGCGGAGCGTCCAACCTGGCGTGTGCGTGCGGCCGGGGGTCACACACGTTTCTGCGCCTAATCCAGAGGCGTCTAGCCGTTGTGTGAGTCCGATACGTGCAAAATACGCACACATTTTTCGCCCGTTGCTAAACACCGCCCATTATGCGTCGCGTCTCCCTCATCCGAGCGAGAAAGTACGTTTCGGTTACCTCCCACCGAATTCGATGCTAGTGCCATCTAGCGGTGGAAGTCATCGTCCCCACTTTAGTGGTGAACGCCGTTAAATGCCGGGAAATCATTTGGTTTCCAGTCATGATTCGGCATTACGCTAAGGAAATTCGCGGCGAAATCCAAGTCGTACTCACTTTGACATTCGACAACCGTAGGCGATCCCTGCGTGCTCAAACCGTTCGCCGTTGGCGGCTGAACCGCTCCGAGGCTTCGATATCCCTCGTCGGAAACTTCACTCCCGTTGTCGGAGTGCTCACCGTCCCCGTGGGGCGACTTGGCGTATCCGGAAGGCTCCTTCGCGAAGTGCTCCGCCGTTTCCTCCTTGATGGCCGGCGGGCTTGGAGTCGGACTGCGGCTGTTGGAGTCCTCGCGACACTTGTACGAGTAAATCGCGGGCTCGTACTTCGGGGTGTCGTCCCTCTCCACGGTCCTTCGGGCAACACCACCCTCGACGACATACCGCTTCGTGAACTCGTCCGGAAGCGGCACCTTCGACTTCGTCTCCTCCGGTTTCGGATCCTGAGGAGGCGAATGGCAAAGGCTTATTGAGAACGTTCGAACATAAAATCTATTTCTTACCGAACGTTTCTAATACGTAATATGTTTTGTTCTCTTTAAATATGGTTCAGGAGTCGCGAATTCGTATTCGGAACTTCGTCTCGTTAGTTCTGGGATCCGATTCTCGAGTCCACTCGATCAACTTTCGCGTGCGAAATTGAGTTTCGTATACGACTTTCAAACGCTGACCAATGACGTGACTTCGCAACAATGCGAAATTCTCCATGCGTATCTATTCGTATGCGAACAAAATTCGTACGTACTTGAAAATCGGGTCCCTGGCAGAACTTGAGATCGTACGACGGCACGGGTAGTAACGATTGAACGTAAAAGTATAACCTATTTTCCGTTGCTATTTGTATATGGTGAAGTTATTCCGACATGGAAGAGAACGATAACGAAGCAGCGAGTATGGTATACAGAAATAATTTTGCTAACCATAAGTGACGTACATGAATATAGACACCGTTGCGGGAATTAACGGTATTAATAACCTAAATCTAAATATTAGGTATTAAATCTTCTTCGACGTGGCAAAATGAGCCGTTTTTGTTCCAATATCGACAACAAACGTATACTACCATCCACATCATCAAGAGACGAGACAACGTCACGATTGCAATTCTCTACAACCATTGTACGCATTTTATCCTCTAACGGTTAGACAGGCATTGACACCACACATTATGCCGGCAGAAGACCTTACTATTCTACGACAGCAATATTAACGGTACTACCATTGCCAATGAAACGGTAATGGTAGCCCATGAAATCTTGGAAATGTCGAAATCTAACGTCGGGGTACAGCCACGTCGCTCTAGCGGGTGCGATCAATTTCTGCCGCTCACCGAAGAAGACTCAATCGTGGCTCGGAAAATGATTACGCGCGTTAATGCGGCGTGACATCCGTTAATTAAGGTGAAATCCCCACGGCACGAGCAAGTAACGCATCGCAACGCCCTTTCGGTGGGCGCCGTCAATCCAGCGTACCTGAGAGTTCTCCAGGAGTTTGCCAGGTTGCACCTGCGCGCGGCCGTCCTGTCTGGCGAGTCGGACCTCCTCGTTGAAGACCTTCCTAGTCGGCTCGAGGGGACTGGCGCAGGTCGACCTGCTACCCTCGACCCTGGGCGTGGGACTCTGGGAGCGCAGGCCGGTCTTCGGAGTCGGCGACCTCGACCTCTGCTTCCCGTGGTCCACCGCCTGGTGAACGGGACTCCCGAGGAATTTTCGCTGGGGGGTTGGGCTGCGGGACCGATTGGCCGGCTTCTTTAGCTCTTCACCGAGGTGTCGATTGGCTCGATGGGGCGTCGGGGAGCGCGACCTGCTGGCCGACACGGTCCTGGGAGCTTGCGGGGACAGGGACTGCTGGCTCAGGGCCTGCATCGCTCCCGCGCAGGACCCTACGCTGGACGCCGAGCTGCGCCGGGTCCTCGGAGGTGATCTAGGGAGAAGAGCGACGAGGGACTCAGGAACAGCAATACGAGGGTTTGTGTGGGTTTGTTGTACGCGGGGTGTATCTCCGACTTGAGTCTCCAACTCGGCGCACAGTAACGAAAATGAACAAGCTGGTCAAAACTATTTGTCTGCCTGAATCTCAAATTTTGGGATTTTAACCCTTTCGTTACCTTGGACGAGATATCTCGCGACCCAATACTGGCCGATTAACGCTTTTGACGAGATATCTCGCGACCCGATACTGGCCGATTAACGCTTTTGACGAGATATCTCGCGATCCGGTAGTAGCGGATTAACGATTTTGACGATAATCTAGCTTCCTAGCACTAATATTTTCCAACCATGTTTTCAATTATACCGCGTAGAAAGTAAATAAAAATAATTTCATTAAATTAATAAAAACTGTATTTATTTCTTCCTTTTAGCTATACGGATAGAATTAGTTATAAAGTATATTCATCTAGAATGTCAAAATATTGGTGCTAGAAAGCTAGATTATCGTCAAAAGCGTTGATCGGCCAGTATCGGGTCGCGAGATATCTCGTCCAAGGTAACGAAAGGGTTAATATTATATTTCATCAGTTTTATCTTAAATTTTTTCATCAATCGGTAGGAAAATTGAGCCAAAGAAGGACACTAACGAAATGTATCCATGTTTAAAGTCTTTTTAACTTTTTCTAATTTCATTGCTTAATAGTTGTTTCGCACATTTTGAATTCTAAAACTACACTGATAAATGTAAAATTGTACACGCGTTAAACATAAGAAGCGCAAGAAAATAACGTACAGGAAGAAGATATGTTACTTTAATCTCCTCGTACAACAAGAACAGCAGATATATCAGCATCCAATTCTTTTGAATTTCAACGAATAATAGTATAAGTTAAAAATTCTCGTTTGGAACACTGCGGAATATCACGAGATTCATAACTTTTTCAGTAACTGAAAATAAAATGTAAGAATACCTCATTTGAATGGAGGAATAATTTTACGCGATATTTAAAACTTTTCAACCGATATAAAATTAACTTTAAAAGTTATAAAATATCCTACGATTTTTCGGCAATATCTTACAAAATTACAACGGAATTGGAAAGGGTCATTTATTTAAAAAAAATCACCCTTACTCAAACTCGGTCAAATTTTCCTTCTTAGATACCGATGCCAGTAATTCGTTCGAATGTCAATTTTAGATTCACGTACAGAACCGTACGTAACAATTAGGCTTCCGCGCTTTTAGAAATACATGTCCGAATGACTTCTCTACTGAACCTGAAAATCCATAATCCCAAAATACAAATTTCATTATTGAGGTTTTGACTAGCATTTTTGTCACTTTCGCCATTGTGCGGCGTGATGCGGTTCTCTCATCGTGCAACTCGTCATGCATTCGTACAAAAGTAGGGTTAAATGGAATCGAAAACTAGGGAGGAAAAAAGGATGATCGTTTTGTTAGGAAACGCGTAATGGTATTTGTATTTGTTTTTGGATTTGGAGCTTTTTTGCTACGGGCCAAGAAAAGTCTTTTTTGTCTTTATCGAATACTACGCGATGCTCCTCATTGTTGGTCACCCATCAAGGAGGAACCGCGTCCGAGGTTTTTTAACTTCGGTGATCTTCCTGGAACCGGTGTATCTACGCGCGTTTATTGTAATTGTGTGGAGTTTATTTGGACGGAAACTGGGGTACTTGATGAAGACTGTTCCGTTAATTCAAATGACGTTTAAGTTTGTTTTCGGGATTGTAAGGCACACGTTAAACGACGTATGGGGAGAGGTGTCAGTGATCGAAGGACTGTATATTTAATCACAAATGGACTTGTCTAATTGTCTGCAAATGTAGGCGATTTTGTTTAGCCTCAGAAAAGTATGGTATAATTGTATCTTTTTTAACTCTCTGTTGCCACACTGGTATTCCTTAAACTCCAGTGAACGGTTTCAAATTATTGTACTACTAGGATTCGAGACAACTTTTCCTACATTTACTTTGTTCTTGGATAAGTTCAGTTTTGCATTGTGATTTTGAGATAATTTATAATAGTTTAAAGAAAAACATTGCGATACCTTTATTTTTTCACAAATTATGGGTTGGGGTTTCCTAAACTCCAGTGTGGGAAACACGTAGGCAAGATCGAGGTGTGGTAACGGGGGGTTAAAAGGCAATAACGACGAGGAAAATAAATCATTTTATAGGATAGTTCAAGGTAAATGAGTATGAAGGAAAAATAATTTCGCTGAACTTAAAGATCATCGGCTGTGCCCATCTCGGCTCGAGAGTAAATGTCGCGCTCGGGGGAACCGGATAATTTAACAGTCTAATGGTAATTGCAGAAAATCGATCTTTTCGCGTGATAGGATTATCATCTATTACTCTTAAAAGAACGCTTACCGTTCGTAATGCACCTGTGCACTTCCTAAGTCGAAGGACCCTCCAGCTTTCTGAATGAGCTTCGCGGAGATGGTCGAGCGGTGAGCTATAGAGTTAAAAATTACGAAAATGGCAAAAAATTACGATAATAACCTGGTCATTGAATAAGGTGAAAAAGAGAAGCATTTTATGCAGAAACAAGTAGGGAAAATGTAATGGAAGTACGTCATGTCAACGTCATTTACCGACTGACAACAAGCTAAGGTATCTATCGTAACATCATGAAACAATTGTAGCACATGAAGTACTTCCAAATTTCTTCGCGATAAGAAATCCATGACTGCTTAAACGAGTTTCTTGATAGTCTAGCTTAAGGTGAAGTGAAACACCCTTCAAATCAGTCGATTCGAATACAACACTTTTTTTTAAGGGTATTAGAACAAACTGTCTGAAACTTTGACACATCACTCCTGATCATCTAAGAATTGTCCTGACACATTCAAAATTTGGATGTTTGAAAAAAATTTTTTAACTCAGCCCAAACCAGAACCAAAATGGCGTCGAGCTCTCATATTTCGATCAGTATATAATTATCGAAGGTTCTGATATGAGAATCGAAAGGGTCAGGACAATTTTACGACAATTTAGAACACTTTGATAGTCGATAAACTCACATTTGAACGGGATAAGGGCAAAAAAAGTGTTGTATACGCTTCTATGCCAAAACGATGGTAATAAGAGGTCTCGGAGTGAAAATTTAATTGACCTGGAAATCACAGATGGCGCAGGGGGTCCCTCTGCAGTCAATTAGGGCCCCAGAAAGCATGAATCCAGAGGATTTCTAGAGTTTTACTTTGATTTCTTTATAATTATTGTACGAAAACGACAGGTGGATTATGCCATTTGGTACATTACCCAATATAATTCGATACAGCTGTCGATATAAAACCTAACGTCGGCAACGTAGGCATTTAGGAAAATCTTCATTATCAACGTTGATCAAGTTAATCGACGTTTTTCACTTCACCTTAACCTCTGAATATGAAATGTTATGTTTAATCATGTTCTGCATTTCCTTAATATTTCATTATATATCCTCTTTTAGGCTTAACAAGAGGTAGATAAGTATAGGATTATAAATAGTTAAATGTAGAAACTTACATGTTCGGCATCGACAAGGGTCGTGTTTGTCCAAGTAATGGCTGAGGGTATCCCATCCACCTCCAACCCTAACCATAACGTGGCTCCTAAGGATCCTGACGAAGATAAGCACTTTTGTGTCGCCGATACGATATTTGCCCTCCGACACCCTGATCATAGGGAATTGCGTGGGACAGGTGCATCTCTCCACTAGGTCGCGAACCTGCAAAAATAAAAGAAGAAACTTCTTTAAGACAAGAAATCATTCGGATGAAAAAAATTAAGGATTTAAAACCACCCGTGTACCAGCCTGCCGATCAGCGCAGCCAATAATTGACTTCAACGGTACATTTTTTGCTCTTTTGCGATGCGCAGAAAAAGCGGCGAGCAACGCGAATTGGGCAAGGAACGTGAATTTGCCTTTTTAAAACGGTAATAAGGTTTTTACCTGAACTCTTGTTAGCCAAAGGTGGATTTCCATTAAGAGCTGGTCTTAACATTAAAACAGAAACACTGGAAAAAATCCATCTCTTCTTTACAAGGCTACTTGAGCCACGTTATGTTAGATCTTTTTTTGAAATTCATATTCTGTTCGACATGCCTGTAATTTCTGACTTGGAATATAAGAAGATCGCGACTTCGGTTAAAATTCCACTGAAGTTATCACGCAAAATCTAATTACAGCGTATCGTTAATACTACTAAAATAACGTAATGTAACAACAGGTTGTAAAATCCCCAAAATATCCAAAATATATGGGTTTCTTTTTTTCAGAAAATTTTAAATATTCTAGTGGCAGGATAATTCATTGAAGATTTATTTTCAATCATTCTAAAGTTAAATGAAATGAAATAATCAGCGTTGTCTCTTTCATAGTTCAAACTTAAATAGTTAAAAATCAAATTAAATTCTCAGTGTTCAATTGTCGGTCACAATTATGAAAAATATGGTAACATCAATAAAATTAATTTATTACAGACTCGTGTAAGAACAGCATTTTATTTTCGGCATCATGGCTTTCGATTCTTACAAAGAAGTCACGACACGTAATAAAGTGATTAAGACAATTTTACCGAACGGTGCATACGTACTTAACAAGCGTAAAACCAGTCTGCAAAAAAGAAAAACTGACAAGTCCACTCGTCGCTCGGGGCAATTTATATCCAAGAATCGGGTCTTTAAATTTAAATAGCCCCATGGGAATCTGGCTGACCTTTGGTCTCGTTCACTTTACTTAATTTCGCATTATTTTTAACATTTTTATGATGGCAACAAAAATAACGTATCAACATACTTAAGGTGAAGTGAAACATCCTTCAAATCAGTCGATTCGAATACAACACTTTTTTTTAAGGGTTATTACACCAAACTGTCCGAAACCTTGACACATCACTCCTGATCATCTAAGAATTGTCCTGACACATTCAAAATTTGGATTTTTGAAAAAAATTTTTTAACTCAGCCCAGACCAGAACCAAAATGACGTCGAGCTCTCATATTTCGATCGATATACAATTATCGAAGGCTCTGATATGAGAATCGAAAGGGTCAGGACAATTTGACGACAATTTAGAACACTCTGGTAATCGATAAACTCGCATTTGAACTGGATAAAGGCAAAAAAAGTGTCGTATGCGCTTCTATGCTAAAACGATGGGAATACGAGGTCTCGGAGTGAAAATTTAATTGACCTGGAAATCACAGATGGCGCAAGGGGTTCCTTCGCAGTCAATTAGGGCCCCAGAAGGCATGAATTCAGAGGATTTCTGGAGTTTTACTTCGATTTCTTTATAATTATTGTACGAAAACGACAGGTGGAATATGCCCTTTGGTACAATACCCAATATAATTCGACCCAGCTGTCAATATAAAAACGAACGTCCGCAACGTAGGCATTTAGAAAAAACTTCTTTATCGACGTCGATCAAGTTCCTCGACGTGTTTCACTTCACCTTAAATATTCAAATACTCTAGTCATTTATTTTTCCGTGGATACAATTGGAGCCATTCATACAGTTATTTATTAATATTTACTGCCGTTTATGTAGTGATGCACCGTCATGACTAGGTTCGACATCCGGAGGGACCCCGCAATGCACAGTCATAGCTTCTGGGAATCTCTTATGACTTTCCAAGAAAGTCCCGAAATAAACCGCATCCAGAGTATCTATTTCAGCCGCGACCGTGCCGACGTAGCATTCTTTGGCCCAAATTCCAATTTTGAGTGAGAGAAAAAAGGGGGAGTAAAGAGGAATGCCCAGGCCACAGAGTGCATGGAGATGCGGATTAAACCGGGCATTGCGTAATTGAGCGTGCTGGTCATGCACGATTTAATGCCGCAAGGAGACCGGCGTTAAAATTACACCTTAACTGGTCTATTTAAGTCCACGGAAATTACGATGTTAACGAGCGGTGTTATAAATTCGATATTAAAATCCCACTGATAGCCGATCGTTTCGTTGACCCCGTTCGCGCAATGCACATATATTAACCGATAATCCAACGTGTCAACGTAGCTGACACCCGTAGATATTATCTGCGATCTGATGAGAATAAGACGTATCTATCTCACGACGTCTAGTGGAGAAATTAATTCCCGCGGGGTATACGAAAGGCTGAGAAAAGTGCGTGGCTCGTTAGGCGTGTACCGAGAAAAAAACACCGCAATAAATCACTGAATTACGGCCGCACGGAGAAACGGAGCAGCGATGTTTTTTCGGATACATAAAAAAGATAAAATTTGCCATTAAGGTAGATAGATAAAATATAAGGATGCACGGAAAGTTTTTTGGCATTTAAAAAAAAATAGATGGTGAAATGTCTTCCTTTCTTGTAAAAATTACTCCGAATAAACGCAATTAGACCTACACGTACGGGACGATTTATCACTTTTTCATCTCGGGGTACTTGTTTCCTTTTTCGCAAATGTAAATTCTCAGACATACTTATTTATCCATCCATTTAGTCCACCTAATATGTATATAATATATCTATGGTTATACGAAATTAATGTAAAACGTCAATTATAATCACGGAGTCGCGATTAGAAGCCCCACGATCAATAAAATACCCCACAAAGTTCTAACGTCATCACACGAGTCATAATATAAAAATGATTAACTTATTTCACCCAGAAATGTGTCCCATGTATGCATAAATCGCGGCAGAAATAAATAAAGGGCTGAAACGAGTAATTGCACAAACCACGAGCAATATTCGCGCGATAAATCGTAGCTTTTAATATCGTCCGACGAAACGACTCTGGTGCATCCGAAGGTAAGAAACATTAATTTATCATGGCTAAACGCGTGTACGGTGTCCGGTCATCGTAAAAAGAAGCGAATCAACGGGATAAATGGAATAAATCAGAGGACCGCAGGTGAAGGATTACGGAGGTTCCACGTAATAGGGCACCACCAAATGAGAAGTTTTAATGGTCGTTCACTTAATAGCCATTAGGTGGGTGTAACATGGGCACGCGACCACTCGGAGGCCCGTTGCACCTTGTCGTTAGAATCGTAAACCGTACGGATCCGCGACATCAACATCCGCGCAAGTAGCCATTAACGTCCTCGAGATAGAGATCACCGAAGAGACCTCGTAAAAGACATTGTTCGTAGAATGGACAAATTTAATGCACCCGTTTTGAGGGTTCGGAAAAATGGGAGTCGCCGATGCTTTTCGAACATTAAACGCGAGCGGAACAACGAGGCGCACCGCGAGGCGTAATGCGTAAAGATAGGTGGACTCGAATCTTATCCGATGCCTATCGATTTAATGGCATCAGCTGCCCATTGACAAATTGTTATTGAAAACTGCCGAGATAAAATAGGGATTATGTCCGCCATGCATGTGTACAAACGATTGCTCGAAGGTACACGCGTCGTTTGGTGCATATGATCACCGAGTTCTTAAGTACCTTCTAAATAGCTACGACTCGGTCGTGAACCAATAATTGATAGCTGTTTTTTTAAAGGTTCGCAGTGTCGCGGTGCTGTTCTTTGGAACGTATATCTACCTTCTACAGAAACTTGGTGGAACTCACTAATGTGTAACACGGTTTATCGAACACCGTAGAAATTTATTGCACCCGTTTAACAGTTAGCGAGTCGTTTCCGGGTGAATGATCAAAAGTGTGAATGGAAAAACGAGATGCACAGCGGAGCGTGGTACTTAGGTACAGATTTATAGACTCAAATCTTATCTGGTCCCGATCCAGGTAATCGCATCGACCGCCCAATGGCAAATTGTTATTGAAAACCGTCGAGATTTACTAGAAGCTTGGATTATGGCGGTGGCACCCGCGAACGGGTCCTAGGGCACACCCACTGCTTTGATGCATATGATCGTGAAGTATCTTTTAGTTACGACTTGGCCTTTGACTAACACCAGACTGGTACTCTTGAAAGACCCGCAATATCGCAATTCCTCTCCTTGCGACCGAGAGAACTGGCTAAAGACACGTCGTACCGAATACGGTGCAAATTTACTGCACCATTTTATCAGTTGCCGCAAATGCGTAAGCGAGTTGTCCGCATACGAGTTATTAAAAGTGCGAATAGAATAACGAGGCGCAGGGCGGAGTGCAACGGTTACAGATCAGTAGACTCGAATCTTATCTAGTGGCGATCAACTTAATGAGATCGGCTGCCCATTGGCAAATTGCCATTGAAAAGTGCGTACGCGAATGTGTCCTGTCGCTTACACCGCTTGATCGCGGGTTCCTGGTTCACTCGTGGACGTAGGATATGTGGAGTCCGCAAACCCAACCATTTTCCCATGATATTCTTGTGAAAGTAGAAAAAAGGAAAGAGCGAACGGGGATATCCGTTTTCTCTCTCGCTTGCCGTTAAATAGTCTGTCGCCATATTACGCTGGATAATCATTTTCATTAACGACATTCACCACCAAAGTGGGGACGATGACTTCCACCGCTAGATGGCATTAGCATCGAATTCGGTGGGGGGTAACCAAAACGTACTTTCTCGCTCGGATGAGGGAGACGCGACGCATAATGGGCAGTGTTTAGCAACGGGCGAAAAATGTGTGCGTATTTTGCACGTATACAACTCACACAACGGCTAGACGCCTCTGGACTAGGCGCCGAAACGTGTGTGACCCTCGGCCGCACGCACACGCAAGTTGGACGCTCCGCCTAGAGTCGGCAACGGTTGCTAAGGAATGCCCAAATTCCTCGCGAGAAACTCGAAAATCCTGAAAAAGGTGCTCCACGGGGACAACGATTTTGAGCGTATTTCTCAACCGATCGAGCTCAACGAGTGCTCGTTTTAAAGATAAAATATTGACGTGTGTTTATATGGGAGCGATTTTCGATCGAGCACCTCCTTCCTAGGAAAAAACGCATTGAAATTATGTCGTTGCACTTTTTTTATATGAAAATGACCACTTATCGAAAATCGCTCCCATATAAACACAGGTCAACATTTCATCTTCAATATGAGCACTCGTGAAGCTCGATCGGTTTAGAAATACGTTCGAAATCGTTGTCCCCGTGAGGCCTTGCAAA